TTTCTTCGGGGGGAGGAGGCCCTATTGAACTGAAGAACCTGGCCCAGAGCTCAGTGGTGCCTTTTTAAAAGGCATGCAGTTGAAGGGACTGTGTGGTTTTCCCCAAACCAGACATGTCCAGCAAGTTCAGTGTGCCCCATGTTAAAGGCTCTGCACCCTAGTGACAGCAAAGAAAAGTCACACCGATCATTCAGATGAAGGTAGCATATACCCAATGATCAGTGACTTGAATATAATTTCTGCATCAGCTGCATCTTGCAAGCTGTTCTGCAACTTGCCAGACAGTGTTTGATATTTGGATAGCGTTTGCAAATGGCAGATAGAATGTTAATGGGATATGTCTCTGACAGTAGCTGGATGTAATTTAGAGATGGACTACAGCCATGTAGTTACATACCACATTTGGGTTTTGGCTCATTATATTAGAGAGATAAGGCCCAGAAAGGGATATGTTCATTCAGCCAGAGCTGAGTTTTCCAAAAAGACAGTTTCAGTCTGAAAAGGGATGGGCAGTTTAACATCTGAACCATCTGGCCTCTGTGATGCACCATCTTGCAGGTGCTCTTTAAAGGTGTTATCTGCTGGTGGTATTTAGTCCTCCCTCTCTTAGTGCTTCCCAGAGAGGGTGGGTGGGGGTGGCAATGATGACCGGTCACTCATCTATTAATCCTAGTTTATCTCAGTAGCATATAGCAAAACAAAACAATAAAGGTATTCCTTACTCTTCCTTACTGTCCTTATTCCTCTTGTTGATGAAACTGCCTTTTCTTATTCACTTCACATTCTTGGGACTTGTGTCTTCTCCTCTGTGTGTCCTCTCTCCAGGAAGTCTATTCCCATGCTTTATGTAGCACAGGCTGAAAAATGTCATGTATAGTGTATAGACTTCTACTACTTCTCTATTAAGAGACTGATTTACTAAGGTGTTCAGAATATGACCTTCATTCCAAATGTATGCACAGAAATTGATTTTTCTTTTGTGTCTCCAAACTGTCCCTTTTGCAAAATATTATTCTTTTCCACCCCTCACTTATCCTCTAGCTCTTTTGAAATCCAGCCCGAAAAACATAATTTCTGACTCCAGTAGGGCTTTGGACTTCAGGGCTATGCAACTCAGCTTAAAAGCTGTTTGGGAAGACAATTGCTGAAATGAGGCTCTGAACTTAGATGGGCACAAATGCCCAGAAACACTGAAAAGAGGCCTGAAACCACTGGTTTGAAGATTGAAAATTTTGTGGCCCTCACATTATAATATCTAATTCAAATGACAGTTTTTCTAGAGACAGAGCATCTCCCAATGCTATTCTGGGGAATTAAATTCAGTGTTGAGTCTGCATAAAGAGGAAGGAGAGCTACTTGCTGCTTCATCACTTTATGAGCCTGGTATCTGTATCATTGCTTAGCAGATTTTGCTTCCAGTAATCCTTTTTTTCTTCAGAGCTGAGCACCAAGAGCACATTCTGAGCAATTCATACAGAAAGACTACAAAAATAACACCTTAGAATAAAGTTATATCCTTTGGCTTATAATCAAAACTCACAGGGCAGTTAGTTATACTTGTGGATGCATTACTGAGCCTGTGATTCTTCTCTTCTGTGGGCTCTCCAGCGTGTTTGCAGATGGTTGGGGGGAGGCGAGTGTGCCTGGGGTAACGTTCCTGTTTGCTAGGCTGCTGGAATTCAGCTACACTCCTTAACAAAACAGTTTGTTTTAGGTATTTTTGCTGCATGTGCATGTGCAAGATGCTTCTGGAGGAAAAACTAAGCAGAACTAAGACACTGAGAGGTGAGATTTTCTCAGCTTTGATTAATATTGACTGATGATCTCGTTTTCCCATATTGCTTATTTTTCCAGGTAAAACATATTAAAAAGCAGTTCAAAGTGTCTCATCTAACAATGTCAAAATACAGACCTGGTACCTCAGTGACTGCCTGTGCTGGAAATCAGCAGTGTGACTTGGCTCTCAGAGCTGGATGCAGGGTAACAAATTAATTCCATTAGTTCTGCCACTATCAGAGATGTTGACACTCCCTTTTCACCTGTCACACCACAACACCTAGAGACTAGTGAGTGGGGACACACACAGAGCTCTGCTGAACCACAGCAGAATTGCAGAGATGCCTCTGTCCCTGCTTAACTCTGCAAACTCCCATTTATGCATGTATTAGGTTTTCACTGCCGGGCGCCTGTTCCTCTCCCCCCTCCACTTTTTCATGTTCAGTGGATTCTCCTCTCTGTGCCTCTGCCTCTCTTTCTGTATTTTTTTTCTCCCTATTGTTCCCCACGTCACTAACTGTCACTCACTTCATAAAGCCGTCTGGCTCGGAGCTTAAATATTGCAGGGCAACTAAAACCCACCATCAGAGCCAATTCAGTCATATCTGCTCAGTCGTGCGACAAGATTGGGACTTTTAGGGTAGGGAAGAGGAGAGACAAAAGTTCACTCTTCCCTGCAGAGTGCCAAGAGAGGAGGGGGACACATTTCTTCGGTGGAGCCTTTCACAGCGGCAAGTTGCTTGCTCAACGTCCTTAACCTTTACAGTCTTTTTTGCTGGTAGGGTGCTCAGGTTGCAACGTCTGGAAGCGCAGGGTGTGGGTTCGCAACAAGCCCATGTGAGTTAAGAACACGAGTCAGTTGACTCTGAGTGGGCTGCTCTTTCCTCATGACAGGCAATTTAAGGGACAAGGTGACTTGCCTAAATTCATTGCTCGCACCTTTTTTGAGACTTGAGGGGCTGACTGCTTACAGGTGGAAACCTAGACATTTGAACTGGTTGTGCCACTCATCTTCAGTCCACCCAAAATTGTTCCTTGCAGTTGAAGTGATTGAGTAACCCTGAACCACTTCACTTGCAGAAAGTAGAGAGGATGGTCATGGCAGAGTTTTGAAAAACATTACTAGTTTGGAAGTGATCTCAGGAAGAGTTTAGCCAAATGTAGCAGGCTGCAAGTAAGATATTTGATGGAGTTAGACAGGAAACATTTCTCCTTCTCCTGTACAGTGAGTTTTCCGTATGATAAGGTTTATCACATCTAGAATGTTGCTCTTGTGTGCTGCAGTGGAAATGTTCAAATGGTAGCTGTGGATATCAGCATGACTCACAAAGAGAGGGATGGAGTTAACTGCGGTGCCTGGGGGACAGCAAAGTTTATATTGTTTGTAGTCGTGTTTTTTACAGAGTTGCACATGATTGGTAACTGTTGGGTGTACTTTGCTCTGTGAATCTGCAGAAAGAGAATGTTTAAATCAGTTTAGATAATGTATGTAAACAGCATAATCTTCTGCTAGACTTGTTAATGTAAGTGCTGACATTAACACACTCTTTTACACAACTTTAATGACTGAGAAAGTAGCAATTTTCCTCGGTGATTAAATTATATGTTTGCTGCTTACGCATGCAAGGTGTTTGTGCACGCTGAAGGACTGCGTTGTTTTTTGTTTTCTAACATGGGTGTCTGGGGTTAAAATTTTACAAGGTTTGAAGGCAAGGAAAATGAGTCCATCTTGTTTCAGAAAAATGACATCAGAAGGGTTTTTTTGGTTGAAAATTTGTGAAATTCCCCAGAGCCATAGAACTCTCAATATTTTGTGTGTTTGTCTATGTGTGAATACGTACACACAGTAGCTGAAACAGACTGGTATGCGTTGGTGTGTCATAACATATGGCATTACAAATATGTCCCAATGGTATCTGAAGGAGGAGGGAAGTTTAGACACTCAGATTTCCATGCTGTTGACTGTACGTTCTTTTTCCCAGTACTTGTGTGTGTGTGTCTGCATTTAGAAAACTATAGATGGAGGTAGTATCTAAGAGATGAACTTCTGGATCCCTGTGAACAGCTATTTTATGAATAATGTTCCTTGTTTCACTTGTCATGGTCCACAATGGATCACTGCAATATTCTGCATTCCTCAGAGACTTCTGACTGCTGTGATGTGTTAAATCAGCTTGTCCCAAACAAGCTTCCTCTTTATTTCCCTCATTCATAGATTTTTGCCTTGCCTAAAATTATACAGTGAGAGGTTTAGGATATGCAGGATGAAGTCCTGGCCTAGAAATAATTTCTTATCATGCAAAAATAATGACAGATGTAATGATTGACTTGCATTACTTGAAAATGGACTACTTTCTTAGCTTTCCAAAAGGATATCTACAGCTGGCTTCCAGCTCTGTGTTAGTCTGAGATAGCAGCACTGACATTTTAGGGAGAGAAAACAGTATTTTAGGTCCCAGTTATAGACCTTCGTGTTTGTCTCCAGGTTGGTTCCAATGCCAGAGTGGCAACTGACTTCAAAAGAGGATACTAAGAATAGCCCCAATAACACTGAATAATTATATTGTATATCATACTATATAGCAAAACTAGTATATATGGTAGTTATTAAGCTTATACAGTAGTACTAACATAGAAATGGTGTTGTAATTGCTATTCTTACCTATCAGAGTGATTTCTAATGTAGAATTAATTCTTGCAACCTAGAGAGAATTCAGGTTTATGTAGGTGCAAGATGGGCACCAATTTGAGATCTGTTTGACCCATGTGTGGTTCCGGTGCAGATGAGCTTGGGTGCTTGAAAGCTTCACTCTCTTTTCTAACCACTGTAGCTGCATGCTGATAATTCTGTTCTACTGTACTGCTGGCATGTGTTTTTATGTGTACAAAATCTAAGCAAGCTCATGCAACTGAGTCTACAAGGCACCACAGAAGCCTCTTACCTAGAAAAGGAGTTAAATATACTCCCCGGCTGAAAAGTAATTCCCCATTTAGAGCCAGGGAAGAAAGAATTTAGCAAGCAGTTTGCCCTGGCTTCCCAGCCCTTCTCCTACTAAGAAATCATTGTGATCAGGCAAATAAGCAAGCAAGCAACCTTCTTTCTGTTCTCAAAGCATATCAGGGAAATACTGGTTGAAAGGAACAAAAGACATCAGTGGGAAAACCTGAAATCTTTTAAATTTAGCATAATTTGTGGTCATTCTCTTTCTTTTTTCTTTCCTTAGACAGTAAGAAATGGGTGACTGGAGTTTCTTGGGGAACATTTTAGAGCAGGTGAATGAGCAATCCACTGTCATCGGGAGAGTTTGGCTCACAGTGCTCTTCATTTTCCGCATCCTGATCCTGGGAACAGCTGCCGAGCTAGTATGGGGAGATGAACAGTCAGACTTTGTGTGCAACACCCAGCAACCTGGTTGCGAGAACGTCTGCTATGATGAGGCCTTCCCCATCTCCCACATCAGGCTCTGGGTCCTGCAGATCATTTTTGTATCCACGCCTTCGCTAATGTACTTTGGGCATGCGGTGCACCATGTTCGCATGGAAGAGAAGAGGAAAGAGAGGGAGGAAGCTGAGAGGCGTCAGCAAGCTGAGGTGGATGAAGAGAAGCTGCCCCTGGCTCCAAATCAAAACAAAGGCAACAACCCTGATGGGACCAAGAAGTTTCGCCTGGAGGGTACCCTCCTGAGAACCTACATCTTCCACATCATTTTCAAAACCCTCTTTGAGGTGGGATTCATAGTAGGTCAGTACTTCCTTTATGGCTTCAGAATTCTCCCCCTTTACCGCTGTGGGCGGTGGCCCTGTCCCAATCTTGTGGACTGTTTTGTCTCCAGGCCCACGGAGAAGACCATCTTTATTATGTTCATGCTGGTGGTGGCTTCCGTGTCCCTCTTCCTCAACCTGGTGGAGATCAGTCACTTGATCCTGAAAAGGATCCGGAGGGCTCTGAAAAGACCAGCGGAAGAACAGCTGGGGGAGGTCCCAGAGAAGCCCCTCCATGCCATTGCAGTCCCCTCCATCCCGAAGACCAAAGGCTACAAGCTGCTGGAAGAAGAGAAGCCGGTGTCACACTATTTCCCTCTCACGGAAGTAGGGGTTGAGCCCAGTCCCCTTCCATCAGCCTTCAATGAGTTTGAGGAGAAGATTGGGATGAGACCATTGGAAGATCTCTCCAGAGCATTTGACGAAAGGTTACCATCATATGCACAAGCAAAAGAACCAGAAGAGGAGAAGGTAAGAGCAGAGGAGGAGGAACAGGAAGAGGAGCAGCCAGAACCTCAGAAAGAGCCAGGGGTGAAGAAAGAAGAGGAGGAGGTAGTGACCGATGAAGTGGAAGGGCCTTCCGCACCTGCTGAACTCGTCACTGATATGAGACCCCTCAGCAGGCTAAGTAAAGCCAGCAGCCGGGCCAGGTCAGATGACTTGACTGTATGAAGGTGCAGGATATGGGGAGAACATGAAAAGGAAAAGGTTGAAGAGAAAAGGAGAGGTAGAGAAAGAATCAAAAGATATTTTTAAGCAAAGTGCTAAAATGGCCATTTGAATATTTTTTCCTCTTGAGATTCTCAACTGGAAAGGTACTATGATAGTAACTGTGCCTTATTTGCCCTGTATGTCCATTTGAAAATGAACATTTTCCCTGTTTCCACATGCCAGCTCACTCCTTACAGTAATATCTACACTGTACACATAGCTGATGTCTTTTAAAACGTAACATGGCAGTGAAACCCAAACGTCACCACTGTGAACGTATTTACTGTGTTCCACATTCCTCTGGGAATGTGGGGAGGATCTGTCTCTTCGGCCAGAAAGGGGGAAGACTGATCAACTGTATCTAGTATTTCTGTTTCCACCTACGGCATGCTGAGCAGATCTCCCCTTTGCTGTTGGCATGGAATTGCAGTTATTTAATTCATAAAGTGAGTTCTGTGCTTAGCATCAACACACTAAAATAGTAAGCACTATTTCCCTTCTCTATTCAGAAAGTAAAGGCCAAAGTGTCCCCAGTTTCTCTGTGAATGTAAATCTGAATTAGGTAAAAATATTTTCCCTTTGTCAAAAATATTTCTCCTCATCAAGTGACATTAACAGTGGGCAAGGTTAATAGTAGCTCTCTACTAGGATTTAGCAGATGCCCACAGATGGATTATTTGTTCCCAAGAGGGTCATCCAGCCCCAAGCCTATTTCAGAGCACTGGAAAGAATAAATTCAAGTGATATTTTTCACTTGCAGTCTTGTGACTTAAAGATTTGTAACTCGATTTAGCAAATCAAGTGTGGGAAGGCTTCTGTGAAAGGAGGAAGTAGCTACAGCCCCCAGAGCATGAAACCAAATATAAGCCTTCATGGCATGATCCTGACATGTGCTCAGTTCCTGGAGCTCCCAGACTTACAGGCACTCGGCAAATCTCAGGTAGAATCCTGAAGGCATCTGTGAACCTAAACCAGGGGCCTGAGTAACTGTGTGACTATTTAAACCTCTAAATACAAAACTGGTTGTTCAGGTTTCAAAAGTCTGATATGATAATAGTATTCTGACATCCTTTGTTTATAATTTGACAGATGGGAGCCATCCAGTGGTCTACCTCTCTATTAAATGCCAAAGTCTTGAGTAAAAGAAGGCCTTTCAAAAGATAATTTAGACCTTTTGTGCCAACAGGTCTGTACAGAACTCTCAGAGCCTCAGCAAAATCTTTTTTACAAAAGGCAGAAAAGCAAGTGCTTGCAAATGTTTAAATGTCTGTGGATTTCTAATTTTAGGACTACAGCAGCACCTTTTGGCTGGGACAGTGCAGCAATGCATTCAAAATCTTCAGGTTAACAGTTATGTCCCCCCCAAAACTGAGCCTCATGCTAGAAAAGTGCAGGTATGCATTCTCATCTGCTCTGCTCTGCAAACCTCAGACCATGCCAGCTCAGCAAATTCTTTCTGCTGGGCTGTAGCCCATCCCATTGTTCACAGGGCAGGCTCTAATCCAGGTCAGGAAAAAAGGTCTTTGGCACAATGCATAAAACTCATCCCGCCATTAACTAGAAAAGACCCCCTGCGGTCTCCCATTGTAGCAGGGCTGACTCAAAGCCCATGGAGGTCAAATGGGCATTGGAGGGAGCTCTGGGTAGGCTTGGGCTCACACCTCCAGTCCTGCTGCCCCACGTCCCAGCCCAGGCAGCCACCGGTACAGTCAGTGTTGTCACTCGCTGATCTAACCAGTTTGGTGGAGTTCCCCTGCCTTGTTACACAGCTGCCCGATACCAGCACAAAGGTGGCTGGCTTCACTGCTGAGTGAAGTAAGCTGTACATATGTAGAAAGTTTGTAGGGTGCATTAGGATTCTTCAGCACCATACCGGTGCCACTTCTGTTTTTGTTTTTGTTTTTTTTTTTCCTACACTATTAATCCTTTTGCTCCTCTTGGGCCTGTGTATTCTCCCAAGGTTTGCAGCCTGAGGTCAAAATCTTTGCTCCCTGGACAAAGGCTGTTAGGTTGTCCTTCCTTGGGAAGGAAGACTGGAAGGTACCTCCTCAGTTTTGGAAAGGAATATGACAAAGCAACCCATGTGAAGGAACATGCAGAGAAAGAATCTGAAGGCTACCATTTATCCACTCTCTTAATACAGAAACAGAAGAGTTAACACAAATGAAAGGCAACTCAAGAAAGAGATTTTTTTTCAGCAGGAAAAGAGTCCACTGTGCCTAATTCAAGATCCTAGAATTCAAGAAAGGGCAAAGATTTAGGTGAACAGCAAAATCAACACACCTATACTAGATGGGATCTATTACTTTTTATTTTCTTCACAGAAAGAGATAAGAGAGTTTTAATGGTTCTAAGCATAAACCACCCTGCTCATTGAAAGGGGTTGGAAAAAGAGTTTCCTGTAGGTAAAAAAAATTGTATCTGTAACGGTTCAGTATGAGGTGTCTTCCACATTCTTCAGAGCACCTGACCCTTCCAGATACCAATGGACTAGATAGTATCCTTGTTTATTTCTGATTACTTGACAAGTCCTTTTACATACAAAGTATTTTAATAACCATCCCTGTTCATGACCTCTGACATTCATACCTTCATTAGATCACTGGACTAATTAAGTTGAGTGCTTATTCATTAGAGGTATATGGTTCACAACATGGCTGTTGGGCGGTCCAGTCTTTAATCATCAAATGTTGAGCGTGTCATTCTTTTTCACTGGAATGCCTCAGTAAAACAGACTATATGCAGCATATTCAACGGACACTGTAGTTCTTTCACAGCTGCCACAGGGAAAGCTCATTTCTTACTCTGGGTCACGACAGCACAATGAAACAAGCCAGCGTTTTCCTCCTGCATCCAGTCAACTGCTTGTTGATTTTTTTTCAAGCCAGTTTTCCAGTACCCTGCCAGACTGCTAGCGAAATCTGTAGCCACCAAGTACGAGCCACGGCATCAAGTCAGCGCTTCTCGGCAAAGTGGGCAGGGAACTAACAGTCTGGTCTTCTGGCATTCAGCCTCATCTCTGCAATGAAATCACTGCAGGACTGTCAGCAAGTCGTTGCTCCTTCTTGTACAATTGGGAATAATTTTCTACCTCACAAAGACGATGTGAGGCTCGATATATTGTGTTAGTAATAGAAGGGGAGGTCCTTGGATGGAAGGCCCTACAGATGAGCAAAGGATTATTGTTATTTCTGGATGTGATAACATATAAATGTGTTTTATTCCCTCTCAATGAGACAAATTTAAGCATTTATTCAAGAAATTCCTAGTGAAGTTGCATAACAGCCTCAGAGCTGTGGATTCAGTGTATGATTCTACTCAAAAAACAATTAAGCAAAACATAGATGTAAATGCAAGGAACAGGGAAAATTATCTTCTTAGGAAGGGGGAAATCACTGGACAATTAGAGCCATGCCTGGATCATTTAAAGGTGTGTGTACCCCCTTGGCTCCCTGTGCAAATAAATTACTAACTGGCTCTCTGCAAGGAGCACAAGATGCAAGTGTCAAAATCACCAAAGGAGGTGAAAGTAGAAGAGAAAGGTAGTGTCTTAGCTTACAATAGCATGTGGGAGTTGGTGTTCTCTAGTGTCTAGAGCAGTGGACCTAGGATAATAATCTTAGATTTATTTCCAGCTCTGCTTCTGACTTGCTGTGATAACCACTTTACCTCTCAGTGCCTGTTTTCTCCACCTGTAAAACGGGTGTAAGAATTTCCACCTACCTCACAGGGATGTTGTGAGGCTTCCTTAATTCTGTTTGTAAAGTAAGTAGGAATGATCTGATGAAAAGCACTGCTGAAATGCATGGTATCCTTGTTATTTCCTGGCAGAACTGCTAACTTGGTTAACAGATGACTCCTTGACCAGAAGGGCAGTAGTCTGAAAATGTGAACACTGCATCGCACTGACAACAGCATCTCAGTTGTGGATTTGCCATGAGTGAAAAAGACTCCACTGATCCCCCAGCCCTCTCTCCCACCTTAGCCTTGGCCTGTCCGTTTGTAGCAGTGATGAGAGTGTGCTCACGTGGACCCCTCTTCTCCATCCCTGGCATCCATTCTGGGGCAGCATTTATGCTTAAGTAAAAAAAGTCCTGGCGGGAGATGCAGCTTGCTGGAGCTCTAACAGTTCTAAGGGCCTATGCAAGGCATGTGGGAGAAGGTTGTATAATGCACAATGTTGCTGGGCTTCTGTTTTAAAGCAGTTAGTGCAAACTCCAAGTAAACTTTCCAGAGTCTCCGTGGAAGAGTTTACAATTGCTTATGGCACACAGAAAAAAAGCCATCCTTCACGAATGCAAACCCACAAAATATCATGTTATACTGATTATTTCCTCTAAGTGAGATAGATACCAATGATCTCTTAGTGCTGAAACACAATGAGATACAGATTCCTCCTCCTGTAGGAGGGGAGAGATTTGAGGGGATCTCTGCTGTCTAGGTCTGTGTGGTCATGAAATCTACTTACTGAGAGAGTAAAGTCCAGTCTCTCCTGCCACTCAGTAACTCACTGACTGTGCAGTTTTACATTTAAAGAGTGGCTGTGTCACACAATGCTGAAAAAAAAAAGTGGCAGTTTGCTGTTTTGTATAGAAAATGGCTTTTCAGGCTGACAACTGAAAGTAATCCTAGCCTAGGCATAGTTTTGTTTAGTAAAGACAGGAACATCCATGAGAACTAGACTAAAGCCTTCCTATAAGCCCAAGGCAGTTGTGATAAAATGGTATATGGTGCCAGATTTCCTGAGGGGCAGGGTTGGATAAGCTTACCAAAATCAGGCGACTTGTCTAAGTATTAGAGTATTTTTTTTTTCCCCCAACAGAATGACACTACCATTTCTTAGGCTCTGTGTGTGCTACACCTTTTAACATGGCTCGGGAAGGGCTTTTTGCCAACACCAAATGTGCTTACACAGTTGAGTAGTAACCATGGCAAATAAATGTGTGTTGGCTTGCCAAGAT